ATATTATTCTTTTTCTATTCAATATTCTTTGACTCCACACTATTTATCTATTCCGAAAACAATGAATTTTTTTTCTCAAAATTGTTCTATATTTACAAATAAATCCATAATTATGAAATAAAATAATGTTATTTTATTTATATTTATATTTATATTTATAAACATACAAATTATTTATTAATACAAATCTAATTATTATTAATACTTTTATTAAATTTTGTTCTTATTCGACTGCATTTCTTATTCAGTATTTCTTTATATTGATGACTTGTACGAAATTTTGCATATCTTGCACCATATAAGTCAAACAAATGTTTATCAATGGCAGCTACTCTTACTGGATCAAATGCTTTTGTACCACGAACACAGCCGTCAACCGATGAAACTTTTAATTCTTCTTCTGTAAATAATGTTGAATAAAGATGGGCCAAAAGATGACGGAAGCCAGTTTCTTTGTTTAATAATTCTTGGTTGGTTGCCAATTGTTGTCTATCATGTTTATCTTTCATAACGTGAAATGTTGTTTGTGTATTAGGATCAGTGAGAACTACTTGAGCTTTCTAAAAACAATGTTTCACATAAAACATATAAAACACTGCTAAAAATAGCTTTTTATAGTCTATACTTACATTTGACGCTTTAACTGATGGAGATAAATTCGTAGACATACTGGTTGAAATTTGACTATCAGCTTTTTGTCTTTTCGACAAAAGGTTCTAAACGATATAAGAATTTCCTGTCCTATAGATACTTGAAAAAGGAACACATTTGACATACCACACTAATTGAAGTTGATAAAAATGATTCGTCACTATCTATATTTAAATCATATGGACGTTTTGAAGTACGACTTGGCGACGATTCAAAATCATAATGTGAGTACAGTAATTCGTTTGCAGATGATATGACTTCAGTTGGTGTTGATTCCGGTGCCGCTGTGCTTTTCGGTTGGTTTAATAACATTAATGTAGATTTATCTATAATTGGGCTGTGTGTTGTATCCATACCATAAGAAACTGAACTAACCTAAAACGAAGTTGTATGACAACAATTAAAAGACTCATTAACAAAGACGGAATAACAGAATTCAATGACTTTTCTCCAGAGAAACGATTTTTGGAAATCTATTTATTCGAAATCAGTGTGTTCGACTCCGCTTTGCGATTTATATGTCTTCACGAGATTCAAGAGATTTTTCGGTCGAGCAGCACCGCTTAGATTTTCAGGGTATGCAAGATTATAGATTGTACTCTTTAGATCGCACTTTTGAATTTCAAAGTCTCCTGCTTTTGCCATTCGTTTTGATGTTTTTCTTCTGCGCGCATATATAGATAGATACAGAAGTCTAAAAGGTGACAAGAGAAGAAATTTCATATTATTGAGACAGCGGTTGGCTGTCTTTGAAGAAGTAATCAAATCAAATAGACAATCATATGAAGGTTGATAGATATATAAACTATATTATGCACAGCAGTCTTGTATAATATAGAAATCGGAGAGTAATACTCATGGAATAGAGGAATACATGTCAGCGTACTGGAATATATTTTGAAACATTTCTTTAATATTTCATGTTCTCTAATTTAAAAAGTTTCTGTTTACTTACAACTTGTTCTTTGATTTGGTCCGATGCATATTGAATGGCACTTTCGAACGATGAAGCTCTTTCTTCAATTAACTCCAAAATTTTTGTACAGCACTTTTCTGTGTTGATGATGCTGACTGATTTATCAAAATTGTCCTTCTGTAATTCACATATTGTTATATCGATTGTTGTTTGTTTATTTACTAATATATCAACAGTTTTCTTAAGAATATTAATTGAAGTTTCCATTTTATCAAATTTTGTTAATAATAAATCCAATTTTTCATTTATTATTGATAATGTTGTTATTTTATTATTATTTTCTTCTTCAAACTCAGAATCATCGTTATCTTCAACAATTTCTGGAGAGGCTTCGCGTACATGTTTAGATTTAGACATTATTAAAGTTAAATGAATAACTACAACTACAAAACTTATGTGTGTGATTTTTGTGAAATGAAAATTTGTAGTAACTACTTTTTCTCCTTCTAAAAATAGTTTCTTTTTCAAACATAGATAAGCTCATTTATTCGTTGTTTAGATGATCCTATAATATTTGCATGTAATGAGAAATAATTAACAATACATGTCTGTATGTATTTCTTGTTACATTTTTTTTTACATTAATTGGCTTGACTTGTATATATATATATATATATATCATAATTGACTATGTTTATATGTTGTGTTAAAGAGCATAATTACTCATATTTGCTATACAAGAATGGATGTTATTTGATTTCATTATTTCTCATAACGTACAGTTAAACTACATATTCAATTTTACTCAGCCTTTCTCCTATAAGCTTCATTTATCTATAAAAAACTTCATCAAGTTCTCAAATACTTTTAAAAAGTTTTATTATGCCAAGTTATAGATGGTTGATGTTCGAAACAAAAGAAAAGTCTCAGGAAAGAATGAGACAAATATTATCAACACGTTTTCAACGTAAAAAAGTTGGAAGAAAATCTTATCACGAATTATGTCCAGAAATTATAACTGAATTAAAAAATTTATTAAATACACACAGTGGTTCTGCACAAGATAGACGTCGTGACGATGCAATACGTTTCAATGGCTTATCAATCGTTGATTGTAATAAACATATTAAAAAAGGATTAATGAAAAAATACTCAAGAATCAATAAAATATCAAATTCTACTGTTCGTCGTTATTTTTTGCCACCAAAAAATAATATTCAAAGTAGTAAATATTACAAAAGTCGTATATCAGCAAAAATCCCACAAAAACGTAATTCTCAATCAATAAAAGAACATAGTGATTTTCATTTTACATGTGCACAAGTGAATTACGTGGAAGAATTGTCTAGTTTATACAGCGACGAAATATTAGCACTATCCTGTGATAATAAAGCAAAAATACCATTAGGTAAGCACATTTAAAAAGGAATGAAATGCACTGAGTCTCTTCGCTTGAAAAATTTTCTTGTAAGAGATTTCTTTCTATTCTCGTTTTTCGATTGTTTGTCAGATTGATGGCATATCCTATACACTAATGAAACATGCTCAGAATTCGCTACAAGTCACCTGACGTCAATAATTGTATTAAACGAGAAAATATGTTGCCAACGATGGCTTGTTTCTTGTCACATTTATCTTGTACTCTTCTTTTCTCAAGAAGTTGCTCGTCACTAGCAAGTCACACTGCCTGATCTCTTTCATCTTCTATTTTCTTTGATATTTTCTCCGCCTTTTTTATCAATATATGTACTTGATTCTATTGCAAAAAAGATAAATGTATGCATATTCTATAATTGTAATGATTTAGAAAATAAATCGAACGTATCATCTATTGGCAATAAAATGTAATATTGCATCAAATATAATAGATTGATTCGTATATGAAAACTTCTAGATTATTGTGAATAGAAACAGAACAACAATCAGGTACAGCACTATAATCTTCCTATATTAGTCTATAAAAGTTTCATTGTCGAAAAAAATTCACGGTAGAGTTTGCTACATGCGAATGAATCAATTATATCAGTTCTGACATTATATTTTACTGTAAATATTTATTATACTTGACTTGTATCCTATATGATTATGATTATAGGATGTGTATATATTCATCTTTTCTGCGATAGAATAAAGTGCATATATTGATGAAAAAGGCGAAGAGAATATCAAAGAAAATAGAAGATGAAAGAATGTGAGTGCCATTGTGTCGCTGATCGTGAGAAGTATCCATCTTCTTTTTCGCTATCTATTTTCTTCACAGTATAACAGATATCGTGCACACAAAGAGAAAAATTTCGAAACATGTCGTTTTAGGTGCACCAGCCGTGAGTCGTTATGTACGAAGTAGAAAATTTCATCTAGTTGAAAATCAGCCAAATTTACCTGATCATGATTTTCCAAGACATGGTATTAGAATCAATCCGTCGGCATATGTTGTTTTATCAAATAAACAGAAACGATCATCTAGTGTTGATAGTCATCCATCATGTGAATTAAAAATCAAGAAAAGATCAAGATCATGTGATATTCAATTATTTTCAGATGTAAAACAACATACTATTATGGTCAGCTAACTGTTCTATTTACATCAGAATTAAAAGTTAAAAACTAATGAGTTTTTTGTTCTTTGTTGATCTAGACGACCGATAAAAGAAATCTTGAACATGTTACATGGAGTAGAACAGGACAATTATTTATTCGTCCATTTGCTTCTGGAACTGATCGATCAATTAAAGCAACAAGTGAAGTTCATATAAATAATATACAACGGATAACATCAGAAAATAATATGCTATTTCATAAAAGTGTTGTTACCATCATATCTGATAACGGACCGGATTGGAGTACTGATTGTGCGGCGAATATTTATAACTTAGGACGAGTTTGGGAAGAACAAAGACTGGATGCGCTGATATGGGTCAGCTATGCTCCAGGACATAGTCGTTTTAATCCAATTGAACGTATGTTCTCAAGATTAACTGATCTGTTACAAGGTGTTATTATTGATTTGGATACATCATTTAAAGACACATCGCAACAACTAGATATGGCATTAATTGATTTATGTAAATACTGGAATAATAAAAGTTATTGTAATTATAAAATTGATTGTCGTCCAATGTTCTCTGTTAATGCAAATGTATTTGACGGACATGAAAAACTAAAGAATTTATTAATGAATAAATCACAAATACAAATACAAGAAAATCCAAATGTTCAATTTAGTTTGCAACTCTATCTTCGTCATTGTGTTCGTTCCACATATTATGTATCATTTATTAAATGCGATGATAAATATTGTATACATTGTTCTCGTTATCCAATTCGTGCTACAAAAACAATATCTTTACTTCGTGCTGGTGGTGGATATATTCCTTGGCCAACAATGACATATAGTAATCAACATTACGATACATTTTTACAAAGATCACATTCTATCTTATTCGGTGAAAAAAATCTTTCCCCGGATGAAAATTTACTATCTGGACCAAAAGCCAGATGTTCAAAATGCAAATTGCCATACGTATTTCTATCAAAAGCAGATGAAGATAGACATAATCAATGGATACATGCACCAACAGCGAAATCTAAAAGATCTTCAACTCAAGTCAATAACATCGTAAAACGAAAAAGACGCTCTATTTCACGTGAATATTAATTCAGCTGTTCATACTAATATTTATTTATTGTAATTATTTTGAATAATCAACTTGAGAGAATTTCAATAAATTTAACTTATCTTTATACAGAAATTCTTATACAAAAATAAAAAAGCATTATTTTCGGAATAAATAAATAGTGTGGAGTCAAAGAATATTGAATAGAAAAAGAATAATATATTTCGTGTATACATATACATACATCAAAAGAAACAAGCAATATATGAAGATGCAATTAAAATAAATTCGTTATGCCGCGGCATGAGAACGGCAGAGCGGCAGAGAGGCAAAGCGACAGAGCGGCATGAGAACGGCGAAGCGGCAGAAGGGTAGCGCGGCATAGCGGTCGAGCGGCTGAACGGCAGAGTGGCAGGCCGAACGGCAAACATTTTGAAACGTTCCCTTACGAAACACCCTTTGTCTCATAAAAAATTTATAGCTCAGACATTACTCTTATCATTATCAAAAAACATTTAATTGGTTTAGAAGTTGTCAATATGCTAGGGGTGAAGGTGAGTTAGGTGTGGGTATGGATATGGGTGTGCCGGTTTGAATGTGGTTGTGATGGTGTAATTATGGGTGTGAGCGTGTGGTTGTGAATGCGAGTCTGTGAGTATGAGTGAGAAATGGGTGTGAGGGTGTTAGTGAAGCAGAGGTATGACGGTGTGAATGCTGTGAATGTGAGTGAGGCTTGGATCTGATTATGAGTGTGGGCGTGGATGTTCACCATTCAAGAAATCACGCCCGCACCATCCCACATGCATAGTCACATCTACATCCACACCCGCAAATGTTTATGATTCGAAACAAATTCAGTTGAAAACTAAAACTAAACAAGGAATCGAATTGATTTAAACCGAGAAAATATACAGAGATCAATACGTTGAATTAAAAAGAATTGAGGCTTTCTCTTGATGAATCGTTTATTCCTCCGAGTTGAGTTGCTAAGATCTGTATCGACTTCAGCAAAACAAAATTGCTTCAAGTTATCATAATTTAGAGCACGCCAGTTAACATCAATCAAAGCACACCATTGGTGGCCCTTGCTTCATCTGCATCTAATAAGCCTGCTACTCGCTTTCAGTGAATATGGAATTCGTACGTGAATCCGTTTTTTGAGTCGCAGCGAACCGACTGGTGCTGTTATTCTGATTTTGAAAATATGATTATAGAGGAAGCATATACAGCTGGGCAGGATCACGCCTTACTGGATGATTACAATATTGATTTCAAACATGCAGCTCAAATCTCAAATAAAAACATCAACGATCAACATCCGGTCAAACGACTAGTGTACAATAGAGACGAAAAACACGTGCGAGAAGAAAGATTCATACATAATCCTGTCGCTCCTGATCGTCCCTTTGGTGGTCAATACGGTTTTATTTCACCTTTTATAAAAGAAGTAGTAAAGGATTTGAACCTTGAAAAAGATGAGCTGCCTTCGGAAAATGAAGCAATCATTCCTACGATCGTTGAAAAAGCTGCTATGGGTATTATGGAAGAAGGCAAGATAATAGGAAAACAACGCGAGGCCGAAAGTAAAGCAAACCAGTTGATAGCAAAGAAGAACGCAGGAATGGAAGAAGTTTGGAAGTGTTGTGCTCATCTGTATTCTTCAGCAAGCTTTTTATATGAGAACCTAAACGAAATCATGCGGTTGATAGGAAGCGAACAACACGAGGAAGTTTGGCGAAGTAAAATACACACATGGGGCCCATTCGCTTTGCTTTTATGGGACAACCCGTTCAACAGAGA